AATAATTGGCAAAACTTTACTGGTGATAATTCAAGCTTGAACCATTATTATGACACAATAACCCAACCCCCCCCCCCCCCCCCCCCCACACACACAGCCACAGCCACACCCACACCCACACATACACATACACATACACACACAAACACTAAACATACATTCACACTCTACAAGCCCTCTCTAGCTCTCACTTATTAATTAAAAGCATCAATAGCATATTGTTTGCAACAATGTACAGTATGTTAAAAATAGATGTTTACATTTTCTGAAGATAATGTGGGTGGCACTTGACTGTGCAGAAGTGGTTGTAAGCAGTTGCTAAATGGTTTCTTACTGTTCTTTTAGTCAAATGTATTGAATAAATTGAATAATAATAATAATAATAATAACTCGATTCAAACTTATATGGATTATTTTCTTAAACTTTGGGCCCTATTGACTTTTCATTGTATAGAAGAAACAGACCCCCCCCAAAAAAATAATTTATTTTTTTGTGTATCTTCTTTTATGTTTCATAGAATAAAGAAAATCATGCAAATTTGGAATAACATAAGGGTGATTAGATAAAGAAGGAATTTTCATTTTTGGGTGAAATATCCTATTCCTCTACGTCTCTAATGCTTAACAGTGTTTGGGACTGTATTTACTAAAATATACTTTGAGTTTTGAATTGTTTTGTTCACATAACAATTTATAGGTGTGACTTAAATAATGCATATAAACGGAAATTAGTAAATGTTTTACTTCGTTAGCTGAAGTCCATTATGTGTAGGCCTACTTACCAAATTATTGTTTTATTTTGTAAAGCGTTCACTTTTATTTCGCTACATTCTAAAGCATAATATGACTTTAATTTTTAAATCTACAACACTTCATAAAAAGATATACCTCAAGCGTGTGACGGAAATGTTACGCCCCTTACCATACTGTGATGCCCTGTCTGGCCGGAGCGACGATTCAAAAACATTAAAACCCATTACAAACGAGGCATTTGTTGCATCTAGTGGGGACATAATTACTGATTATAATGACTTATATTGTCTTTTTACGCGTAGCGTTGCATTGCATAGCGCCACGTAAACATAAAACCATGTCTGCATTTGTGATCGGAGAAATGACAAACAAGCGCTACTCTACACTGCCCAAAACTCGCGTTTGAATCATCAGTGGCAAATCCTTTAAATGAAAACGTACGTTCAGTCTGTGAGTCAGAACAGCCGGCATTGTAGTCTACTCTTCCAGGAAACAGTCCTCCATACAATGTGCTGCACACATCTGAATATTTGGGTTGAACTGTTCTGGAACAGTGTTGTAAATACAACTTAACCACTGATTTCTAGTCGTGTCCTCTTTTGGAAGGCCAAACAAAGTAATTTCGCTTTCACAAACGAAACACACGGCGGGCTACAGTGAGCAGAAGCCGGAGGCCTAGAGCAGTGTTTCCCAACCTTTTTTTTAGTCGCGGCACCCTTTGGAAATTTTAACAAACTTGTGGCACCCTACAAAATTAATTTTGTCACAATATTTGAATTTCTAACTTCGATGTGATAATTTGAAAAGTATAGATATTTGGTACAACAGGGAAGAACTGCAGAATATAATGTCATACAGATATTTTTAATATTATTTAAAAAAAATTGTCCATCAATGGTGGCAATCAGTAGGCTAATTTCTAATGAAGAGACCAATTTATATGACAGATTTTAATGTAGGCTTTTATACATATGTAAACATTATTTAATTACCATTATAACTAGCTATCTCACAAATCTTTGCTCACTCAGTGTTTTTTTTATTTTACAGTTGGGTAATTTTGGTGCAGTAGCACGAGATAGCTTAATTTAAAACTTTGAATGAATAAAAAATGACAAGTAAGCAGTCAGTAATAAAATAAGAACAAATAAAGAAATTAATAATGATAGCACAAATAGAAAATAACGATAGGCCTTCGAATTAAATAAATTGCTTTTTAGTTTTTCAGGTAGGTCTAACAGTAGGGTTAAGATATTTAACTTTTTTTTTTACCAATTATCCAAATAATGTTTAGTCCTAGAAAGCTATTATTATCTGAACACGTGAGCATAACATAGCAGTTAGCAGATCAATGAATGAGAGGGCAGCGTTACCAGAGTTGCCCATATACCACATGTTACAACATAGTAGGGCTATTGCAGAGAGAAACACTACTGTACTACATCGATGTTATTTGTGAGCTAAATCTGATGTAAATAGACAAACTGTTGAGCTCATTTTATGAATGCTGAAATTTTGACGTCTAGTTAGCGATATATAATCATTAATAATTTCAGCTCTGTCCTGGGACACTAACAGTCACACACAGATTAAAAAAAAAACATATAAGGCTATACTAACATAATGCAAATATATGACATATCTCTGTATGTCTTACAGTGTTCAGTATACCATTACCATTGAGATCTGCAGCTGTGGAAGCCACAAACATATCAGGTCAGTTGGTTGCTCATAGCTGTCAATCATTCAGCAGGTATGCAGTCCTTTCTCTATTCATTATTCCACACAATACAGTCTTGTTTATTTTCCTCTCTCTATATACAGAATGTGGTAGGCTAACCCTGTGAAAAACAGTAACTGTCCTGCCAGGAACTGACAATATGATGCATATCGCACACAAAAATGGCAAACACTGGCTGAAATCCAACTCAGTTGTCAGTTCTAATCTGATTGGCTGACTTGAATGCAATTTCTTAGATTCAAATCTGTTTTTAGCACATTATCAACAACAAAGTCATGTTTACAAGGTACTAGGTTGATAAAATGAGCACTTCCAAGGAAGAACCAGTCGCTGGATTTGCCAAAATTTGTGAAGTATACATGCCACTGAAAATAGTAAGATATTCAAGAGATCTGCGAGCTTGAACATGCCTTTATAATTTGCTTTGTTCTCAGATGTCCAACTGTGGTTGAACCAGACTTTATGCCAAAAGTCTAGCTCTTGGAGATTAAATGCTTTCTAACATTACATTGTGCTTGGTATCTTTTACAATAAAGCATTAAATACACATACTGTTGGTTCACACAGAACGCGTTTTTCCATTCCGCTGTTTCCATCGCACTTTGTCATTGTTTTTCTATGAAACATGCTCTAGACAGAGGTGTACCATTGTGTTCATGTCTTGCATCTTTTGCAGCATCTTGTGCATGACACTGCATTCTAAAAACATTAAAATAAGTTCAACTTTCAAAAAACATGTCTCGAGACTTGCATCTTTCCCCATTCCACTGCCCGTGTCTTGCATTTTTCAACGTGTTCTGTGTGAACGGTCCCAGTTTGTTTTTAAAACTACAATGACTGCTTTGTATTTATAAAACAATAAACAGTTGCATCAGTAATTCTCATTACAACAATGAACAAGAAAAATTAAGGTTCCTAAATGCAATCAAGCATACTGTGACAGTCTTATTATAACAGAACAAGCCAAGCATCCTTCACTACACCTTCTCTTCACAGCATGTGACAGGAAGTTTGTTTTAAAGCTTGAGTCAGTTAGTCAATGAACACAATGGATTGGGATCATGGCGACTTTATAACAAACTGATAAATTGGCTCTAGAGCCAATGAGTGACAGGTATTGATAACCAATAAGCATTGCCTTTCAATCCCCAGAGTTGTTATCAATCTATTAATTGACCCCATCCTATGCATGACTCGAGGATATAAATAATGCAGGCTTAGCCAGTCGGTGCCACGGAGCTGTCAGAGAGACATTTTTGATCCATGACTAGGTCATGCAGAGTGTTGGGAATTATGCTCATCAACATAGATAATGTTCTGGCATCTGTTTCCTTGATCAATAGAGATATATGCCCTTTTTGTGCTTAGAGTGTTGTATAGCTGTGTAGTCTTGCAAACAACAATTCCAGTGGGATTGATGTAGGATTCAATATATTTTATATCAAATTATATAATTACAATTATTAATTTAACAAAATTATTAAAGAAAAATTAAATTTTAATGACATATTTTAATGTAAAGTATATTGAATCCTACATCAATTCAATAAAATGATTAATTCATTTAATTTATGTTTTTTAATTTTATGACATATTTTGATGAAAGTATATTGATTGCAACATTTAATTTTATTTATTAAAATTGTGCTTTGTGTGATCCAAGGTTTTAATCTTTACATGTAATATAATATTAATATTTAATAATTCATTATTTATCTTGTATCAGTACAAAGAGCAAACATGCTGTGCATCCGGCCACATTCCCTCCTTACATTTAGTTGAAAAATAAGTAAGGAGTGCAGCTTAGTATACATTCAGGGGTCCCAGAATTCCTAACTACAGCCCTGCGTGTAGGAACAAGAACTATGACAGCATCATCATACTCCCCTCTTGCAATGCAGGGTCTTTAAAGACATGACTGTCCATCCCACACACGCCCAGAGAACCATGGAGGAGGGCAGGGGCGAGTCACCACCTCTTTGCATTTAAAAATTTACTCCAAAATGGCCAAAATTCAACTACACCCACCATATGAGTGGATATAAGTGCCTGTGGGACTTCATGTGCATAAGACAGCGAGGCAGAGAGAGAGAGACAGACAGACAGACATCAAAAAGGGTGAGAGAGGGAGAGGCCCTCCCTGCTTTACTGAGAGCAGGAAAGACAGACAAGTCATCCCTCCATCACGAACAAGTGGTGCTCTACTCCTGCAATGAACACTTGATGTTTGAATATGTAAAGTTAAGCACATAGATAACAATGTCATACTCCTACATGAACATGTGGGCATCGAATCAAAAGGTAGACTGCTTCTCTGCGCATGAGAGAGATGGTCATATAAGTGAATAAATGGCCTCTCAAACAAACAGACACAAAGAATGTAACAAAATATTTAAAATCGGGGGCGGCACATTTAAATCTTAAGAATTGCAAAGTGACACATATTCTTCCCATTAATTTTTCTCCATAGGGATTTCAAAATATTCAGTCAATAAAAATTCCAAGCCATAAACCAAACTGGCCAGTGCCAAGATTTGAAATAAAGTATATGAAAATCAAATAACTTTCATGAAGAAATGAATAACAGTACCACGAAGCATTCATTTTCATTTTTAAGTAATTTTAGTTTTTTTAGTATTTCTATTAATTGTATTTTTATTTCAGTTTTTTAATTGTAGTGCTTCAACTTAAATGTATTTTCTTAAGTTTTTAAAGGGATAGTTCACCTTTAGTTGCTAGTCCCCATTGACTTGCATAGTTTTTTTCCATACAATGGATGTAGGGCTGAACGATTAATCAAAATTAAATCGCAATCGCGACTAGGCAAAAGCTGCGATTGTCATGCGCACCTTGTCAGGGAAGCACAGTAATAAATCTCCATCCGAAGGCCAGAGGGTGCTCTTGCGTGGAAACTCTAAATACACCCCGCAGAAGAAATCAGGAAATGCCTATAGCGGTTACTGAATAAACAGAAGATTTATCTGCTTTCATTGATTCAACGTGACTAATAAACACACGACTACGACAATATGTGGCTTATCTGAGTTCGTCTTATTATATTTTTTATTATAATAAAGTATATAATAATGCAATGCTAATTGCCTTTATCACTGCTTAGAGTACTATGAAATATGTTGCGTGCCTTATTCTGTGTAAGAAGCCACATCATCTCACAGAAGGATTTATTTCAAACACTCGACTGATGTTATGAAGTGAGTTTGGAGTAAAAACGTTATTAAATGTGGTATTTTCACATGCTTTCAGATGGAACAGCATTTACTACACAGAGCCATAGTTCACTGACAAGCTACGCAAACAGCTTTCATAATTGCAGAACGATTTCTTCAATTTCATAATCGCGCTATTAAATCAGCCTGCGATTATGAACGCGATTTTGCATAGCTTGTCAGTGAACTAAGGCTCTGTGTAGTAAATGCTGGTCCATCTGAAAGCACGTGATGGAGATTTATTGCGCATGACAATCGCATTCGATTAATCGTGCAGCCCTAAATGGAAGTCAATTGGGACCAGCAACTGAAGGTGAACTCTCCCATTTTATTTTAGCTTTATTTTAAATTAACGAAAACCTTTAAATTAAATGAAAATTGGTGTGGAAACAAAACAAAAACAAGTTTTGAGTTACAAATAATTCATTACTTTGCACAAAGAATAAGTCACTAGCATTAGTAGAATGTAATGAGCAATAATAGTAATGTAATTGAAATATCTTAGCAAAAACACTACCATCTACTGTTTGCCATCTTGCAGACACCCCTTGAACATCACAACTCAACTCAAGTATCATTGAGAATTCCCACTGGTAAATATATGGTTTTGCTTTGGTCATGCATGTAACCTGTAATTATGATATTTCTGACTCTACTTAAAGGAAAACTAAGGGAAGCATGTTCTCTTCAGTGTCTATGGTTGTTGACAGTCCTTGATGTCACACACAAACTAGATTGTCTGGTTGTTGAGTGAATTTGAATGTAGCTGGGTTGAGTGTGTTTATACTGTCAGACAGAACTTGTGGTGAGTGTTTAGTGATTAATGTCTCTTCTGAGATGGTGGTGGGTGAGGAAGATGACTGTCTACAGTGTGTGTGTCTGTGTGTGTTTGTGTTTGTACAGTTGAAGGGAAAATATTAGCACGCCTCATTAATGGCAGTCTTTTTCATTTCCTGATTCCTAACCATAAAAACATCTAATCATATACCTAAACACCTGATCTTATTAAATTATCTGATTTTTCTGCCTCAGTGACTTGTGCATGACATCCACAGAGTTTGGAAGTGTCTGACGTACCATCTAATTTCCTGCTGCTCTGAAAAACTGAGCTTGACTCTTCTTATGCAAATAAGTTTGTGTGACATCAATAAATGAGAATGAAAAGTGGCTGTAAAATGCATGGTTAACAATGAAGCGTATTCCCATTATTAAGTTTAAGATTTATTTTTTAATTACTTATTGAGAAAATAGTATAAATTTTAATTTCAGTAGCTGTCATTTATCGCTTATTGGCCATTACATGAATATGATTGTCACCTTATTGGTATCAGCCAGAATTTACAAGCCCGATTCCAAAAAAGTTGGAACACTGTACAAATTGTGAATAAAAACAGAATGCAATGATGTGGAAGTTTCAAATTTCAATATTTTACTCAGAATACAACATAGATGACATATCAAATGTTTAAACTGAGAAAATTTATAATTTTAAGGGAAAAATAAGTTGATTTTAAATTTCATGGCATCAACACATCTCAAAAAAGATGGGACAAGGCCATGTTTACCACTGTGTGGCATCCCCTTCTTTGCAATTTCTCTCTGAGAAACTCCTTTCTGATATTGCTCCACTATTGTTCGCTGCAACATTGGGGGAATTGGTGATCCTCTGCCCAACTTGACTTCTGAGAGACACTGCCACTCTGAGAGGCTTTTTTTATACCCAATCATGTTGCCAATTGACCTAATAAGTTGCAAATTGGTCCTCCAGCTGTTCCTTATATGTACATTTAACTTTTCCGGCCTCTTATTGCTACCTGTCCCAACTTTTTTGGAATGTGTAGCTCACCTGAAATCCAAAATGAGCCAATATTTGGCATGACATTTCAAAATGTCTCACTTTCAACATTTGATATGTTATCTATATTCTATTGTGAATAAAATATAAGTTTATGAGATTTGTAAATTATTTCATTCCTTTTTTACTCACAATTTGTACAGTGTCCCAACTTTTTTGGAATTGGGTTTGTATATAAATATATATATTTAAAAAAATATACATAGCATCTTAATATGAAGGAAATTTCCATATGGTTTATTCACAGTTACTGTATTTTACCTGTATTTTGGTTTAGGGTGGAAGGAAATGTACGTAACCTTAATGGAAAAAGTAGGTAATTTTCATGCCAGGACATTATTTGTTTTTCTGTGGATTTTGTTCTTACAGCACACTTTTCAGACATAACATGAAAACAGTTATCAGTTTATCAATAGTGGTTCAATGGATCACAAAACATGTATCTATATAATGATGAAGCAATTCCCTGTAGAGATGATAGTTATCAAACATATTGAAAAACTGTGTGAGAACAGCTATGTCTCAAGCCTTCAGTTTCCTCAGACACACAATCAGAGGATATATAATCACCAAGTTCCTTTCTTTCTCTCTGAACTGTTAGATATACAGTGATCTCGGGTCTTTCACAAGGGTTCATTAATAATGTTCTTTTTTGTATGCATTCAATAGCCGTCTACATACATTACTCAGAAAAGGCAAATGAACAAGGGTGTTGTGAGAATGTGGGTCAGATATTTGATCAGTAGTAGTGTCTGGTCCTCTATTCTTCTCACGGATCTTCAGGGAGTCATCATCAGATAGAGTTGTACCTGTCTGTTGTCCTCACTAGATCATATGAGAATGTCTGCATCTCAAACAAACAGGTTCATTCAGATGTGACTCTTAAATCAAATGCTTACAGATATATTTACAGTTGTTTACTTGAACAGATCTGGATATTTTGGAAGACATTTTTAAAAGTTGTATTTTTTGTTTTGACAGGTCAATCAGTACAGTACAGTATACTATAATACTACAGTATAACATGCACTGATGTGCATATATAAAATCCTTTTTTCATTTGAACTTGGAATAATAGTCAAATATTTGTATCCAAATCATATTACATTACACTTATTATAGGAACAGTCCCCTTAGAGAAACTTGGGGTTAAGTGTCTTACTCAAGGCCACAATATAGTTCAATACAACTATAGCCGACTCCATGACCGATTGAAATATTTCCTATTCATCATGCCAGTTCTAAATGACAGCTGTGAATAATGACCAGACTCCAGACATTTCTCAAATCCTGACCCCACCCCCAAGTCACCCCTCAACCTTAGGGCAGAGTGGGCACACACGTACAAGTACACGTACACACACACACCCATCCATCCATCCATCCAACCCCTACATCTGCCTTTTCCTGCGCTCCTTCTTCCTGAGAGTGTAAGAGACTCTCTCTAATAACCCTCAATCACAAATCAATTTCCACTTGGCCACGAATGCCTCAGCTATGGTGACTGACAGCTGCAGTAGAGGTGCAGATCTGAATCGTTCTTTCAGATGGCAGCATGGCGACCATCTGTAAGCGATGATGCTTAAATTATCAGCTGCCTTTAAGTGATAAGCAGAGGCTAGCAGGTTCAGTCTGACTGGCTGAGATGCTTGGGACAGTGACTAGTCCCACAGTCTCAATCGCATCATCTACAGCAGCTGTTATTTTTTATTGTCCCTTTTATCTGACAGATATTACTGAAATATGTCTTAAAAAATCACTTGCTTCTGTGAAAGCACTAAAAACTGATTTGTTGAGTTAACTTAAAAAAGTAACTTGCATGGCTGCCTTAAAATTTTGAGTTTGTTGAAACTAAGAATTGAAGTTATTACAAAGATAGTGATTTTGTTGTTTCAACTAATATTTTGTTCTAAGAATTAAAGATTATTTTTTAACAATGTATTTTTTGTTGTCATAATTTTGGATGAAATATTGTATCAATTTATTCAAGCAAGAGGATTAAGTAAACTATCAAATTTAAGCTCACTCAACTACATATAGTGTGTTAAAACAATTACCTAAAACCTTTACATGGTTGACTTAAAATTGTGAGTTACATAAACTTCAACACAAGTTAACATTACAAAAGCTTTTTGTTAACTAATTATCCTGGCATAACAGAGAGCACAAATAAACTATAATTTAAACATTCATATTTATTAAAACATTCACATATTAACACTGCACTGTCTGAAAAGTATATATGTAAATGTAAATGAATGTGGAACTGCTTGAATGAAAACATTAAAAACCAAGCAATTTTGCCTTTAAGTGCTGTGACACGTCCCAGATAGTCTAACGCAGTACACAACCCCACAGCATGATACAACCCCAGATCACCAAGGTTTCTTCTTCTATTACCAAGACCACACCACTGCAGAATGATGGTGCTCACTTTGGCCACCCACAGCAATAATTCCATCAGTCATGTCCTTGATGAATCCCTGCTCAGAACCTGTGTGCTTTAATAAAAATGGGCCATACAATCTTAAAGCTTACAGAGTCCAATAAATATGTGCACTTATAAAGTAAATACATTTACTTACAACTTTGTCCAAGCTCTACAATGTGACAGTCATTCCCATTATGTCTGCATGGCACTTTGATGGATACAACTGCAAAAGGACTCGTTGCAGTCCATCCACAAGATTGATAAATTCTGCGCTGATCTTCAGTCATTCCAGAATATCATAAACATGAAAAATATAAACACATTAAAACAACCTTGTAATGCTAAGAAATGCTAAGAAAAGGGTGCTAATGGTAATGCACAGTTTTGCAAAAAAAATAAAAGCAATTGTTTTTGTAAAGATATTTGATTACTTTGTTAAATGGCAGCAAATAAAATAGTGTCCACAGGAAAAAAAAAATCATTTGAATCACATTATTCATGTGCAAACTTGATGTTGTCAACTTACCTCTCAGCGTTGTGAGGAAAAAGCAACAGATGTAGTTGTTTATGTGTCTTACCATTCTATTAATGGGTCAAAATACTACATAACCCACCCACTCTTGTTATTTAAGGCTCCACATCACACTGCTGCTGGTTTCTCATGAGAGAAAAAGCATGAATCACAGTGACATCAGTTTAATACATTTATTCACAGCAATCAAATTAAAGCTAAGACTAATTATCAGGAACGGCAACTCAGAACTGTCCTGATTATATCAGAACGGCAAAAAAAAAAAAAGTGAGTGACGTGATGTGTAGCCAAGTATGGTGTCTCATACTCTGAATTTGTGCTCTGCATTTAACCCATCCAAGTGCACACACACAGCAGTGAGTAGTGAACACACACACCCAGAGCAGTGGACAGCCATATTGCTGCAGCACCCGGGGAACAGTTGGTCGTTCGGGTGCCTTGCTCAAGGGTCTCACCTCAGTTGTGGTATTGAGGGTGGAAGAGAGCACTGGTCATTCACTCCCCCCACCTTCAATCCCTGCCGGTACCGAGACTCAAACCCACAATCTTTGGGTTACAAGTCCAACTCTCTAACCATTAGGCCACGACTGCCCCTAGTCACCCTATATGCTCATTCACATGCACATGCACATGTCACTCCATTAGCTTCATGTCTGTGACACCTGGAAATAGAGACTCTATCTTGCTGTCTCCACACACACACGTACAGCATGACAGAAAGTGATTTAATAGCAGTTATGCGCTTCTCTTCAGTTCCGCTGACAGTCTGATGACTGGAGACAGCATAGCTCAGCTTCGTTTTCCTTTTCATGCCTATCTGTCACACTACACTGTACAATCACATTCAACTCATATTAGAATACTATTGAATTCTTGGATCCCAGCAGTGCGCTGTCACAGCCATTGTCTTTCTCCTCCTGGAGGCTAATGGCTCTCGCAGGACCATGTCCTTCACAAATGAAGGTGTGGTTGGCTGTCAACAATTCAGCCTTCAAATGTGTTCCCATGTGCCCGTTGTTGGGAACTGGCATCTTGCCTGTTTGATTCTCGGGTGAGGCACCGCTGAGGGATTTACTGTTCCCATCCCAACATTGTGGGTGTCGGTATTCATGCCCTTTCACTGTGTGCTGTAATCTTAAGCATTGCAAATAAAAGCAGGTTATAATACCTACAAGAAAGCATCTTTTATAAAATAGGATTAGGAAGACTATACACCATCTGCTTTATACATGAAAAAAATCTGGTGTATATACTATATTCTTGTTGATGGCAAAAAAAAATGAGATGGGAAGGAAAATTATATTTTGCGTTCTCTTGCAAAACTTTTTTGATGGAAATAATGTACGGTGTGAGGAAAAACTGCAAGCAAACACAAAATTTCTCAGGGAAATGCAATAGTTTTGCGAGAGACTCAATATTATTGAGAGAGAATGCATGTTTTGCTAACAAACAACAAAGTTTCTCGGGGAGCGCAATACTTTTGCAAGACAACGCAAATGTTTACGTGAGAATGCAAGAAGTTTCTTGGGGAAACAGTAGTTTTTTGCAAAAGAATGCACGTGTTTTGCGAACAAATGTAAACTTTCTCAAACAAAACTTCTGCAATGGAAATAATTAGTGGTGTTAATGAAAAAACTTTGCTTTTGTTAGCGAACGCAAAGTTTCTCAGAGGAACACAGTGATTTTGCTAGCGAACGCAAAGTTTCTCAGAGGAACACAGTGATTTTGCTAGCGATCAGCCTTCAAATGTGTTCCCATGTGCCCGTTGTTGGGAACTGGCATCTTGCCTGTTTGATTCTCGGGTGAGGCACCGCTGAGGGATTTACTGTTCCCATCCCAACATTGTGGGTGTCGGTATTCATGCCCTTTCACTGTGTGCTGTAATCTTAAGCATTGCAAATAAAAGCAGGTTATAATACCTACAAGAAAGCATCTTTTATAAAATAGGATTAGGAAGACTATACACCATCTGCTTTATACATGAAAAAAATCTGGTGTATATACTATATTCTTGTTGATGGCAAAAAAAAATGAGATTGGAAGGAAAATTATATTTTGCGTTCTCTTGCAAAACTTTTTTGATGGAAATAATGTACGGTGTGAGGAAAAACTGCAAGCAAACACAAAATTTCTCAGGGAAATGCAATAGTTTTGCGAGAGACTCAATATTATTGAGAGAGAATGCATGTTTTGCTAACAAACAACAAAGTTTCTTGGGGAGCGCAATACTTTTGCAAGACAACGCAAATGTTTACGTGAGAAAGTTTCTTGGGGAAACAGTAGTTTTTTGCAAAAGAATGCACGTGTTTTGCGAACAAATGTAAACTTTCTCAAACAAAACTTCTGCAATGGAAATAATTAGTGGTGTTAATGAAAAAACTTTGCTTTTGCTAGCGAACGCAAAGTTTCTCAGAGGAACACAGTGATTTTGCAAGAGAACGCAAATGTTTTGCGAACAAATACAAAGTTTCTCAGGACAATACAGTAGTTTTCGAGAGAACGCACGTTTTACAAATGAACGCAAAGTTTCTCAGGGGAACACTGTAGTTTTGCAAGAGAAGGTACGTGTTTTTCCTCTCATCTCACACCATGTCCCCTTAGGGCAGTGATCCTCAAATCTGGCTTGCGAGATCCACTTTCCTGCAGGGTTTAGCTCCAACCCTATAATCAAACAAACCCACCTGTGATTTTCTAATGATCCTGAAGACACTGATTAGCAAACTCAGGTGTGTTTGATTAGGGTAGAGCTAAACTCTGCAGGAAAGTGGATCTCGCGGGCCAGATTTGAGGATCACTCCCTTAGGGGCTCCGTATTATTCATAACCACAAGTAATGCATGTTACATAGTTAGATTACTTTTAATAATACCTTTAATTAACCTTAATAATTAATTTAGCTGTCAGACTTTTGGACCCGTTTTGCCTCCGTAGTTCTTCTTGTGTTTCCTTTTATGGTCTTTTTCCTGTTCTTGTTTATTTGTTTGTTTGTTTGATTACTTTTTGATTCCATGCACCTGTGTTCCCCTGATTGCCCTGTGTTTATAAGCCCCAGTCTGTTCAGTTTGTTTTTGTCTGGTCTACTTGTTGTGAATGTCATCCTTGTGCTCTGTCTCCCTTTTGATCATTAAAAGACTCTCGTTCTGTGAAATCTACACGTCTCCTCGTGCCTGTGCCTCAGCGAATTGTGACAATAGCATACTTTATAAAAAAATGTTTTTAAGTATACAACACTTTACTTTTCTATGTATTTAAGTTATTTGCTGACAGATACATTGTAGCTATTGTAAATTGCAATTGCATGATGAATGTTGATGTTATAGAGTGTGTCATAAGTTTCTCAAAATTTACATTTTAAAAACTTAAAAATACTGCTGGAAAACAAAAATCAATCAGTCCTAGTGGAATCCAGTTTAGCTTGTTGTTTGTAGCAGATAAAATAAAAGAATACGGGTGTTGCCGCAGAGCAGTGGTGGGTTTGCTTTGCCCTGAAGCTCACAGGTGCGGCCGTCAAAAATGTAACAATCGGGTACGTGATAGATTGCTTCCCTCAACCGTGATTCTTGTGTAAATACAATTATGCCTCATTAAAAAGTCAAGACACGCACCTTTATTTAGTGTAGCTCATATATGTCCTAGCATGTTGCTATGTTAGAACATTTGCCCACATAAAAAAAAAGAACTTTCAAATGTCAAATTTGCATGCAATTAAGCACACACACGCACGCAAATAAATAAATAAATAAAAATAAAAATACCACTTTAAATATCTGTTTTATGTTTGGATGTTGAACTTTCAGAAGTGAAACACAAAAACTAAAGCTTGCAAATAGAGATAGAAAAACAGCTTAAACTAGTTGTTTTGTTAGTAAGCCGTTAGTCTCCTTGTGTTAAGCTACAGTAATTTCACTGGTCAGCCAGGTGGTCTCCCAGTGCCTAAAACACCTCTAAACAGCTAAGTTTAAGGTTTAAAGTGTTTTTATACTTGCAGCTCTTTAAAACACACACAACAATACGTTGATTTGGAGTGTTTGGGTCAGAGGGACACATACACTCCCCTCCAGCACATGGACACATATACAAACAAAAGTTGAGAAGGATCTTGTAGTCACATGGTTGTCATATACAGACCTCCAGCTCTCTAAACACAGATCCGCTCTCATCTCCACTGTTGCCGCCCCATTGACTGGAAACCAAGTCATTAAAGTAAACGGTTACTCCAGGTTTGGGCATTATTACGTCATGCAACTTCTTCATACTTGAATATTAAAGAGACAGCACTTATGTCAACACATAAATTGTCACATTTCTGCAACTTCACTCAGAGATCTTGAATGAGATTATGAACTTTACACCATTTTCTTCCTCTGTCTCCAGATCTTTCTGATTTTTCAGATCAGATAAGGGTTGAGACTGGTTTTTATGACTGGAGTCAAAAACTTCAGTCCACATGAGTGATTAAGGTTAAGTGTGTAATTTCCGCAGCAACATAATGACATTATTCACATCACCTTTAAGCATATTTCTCTCTCTCATTTCACTTTACTCTGCTGAGTTGCTCAGTAGACTCTATTCAACCAACAAACAATGATACCAGCATTCTGTAATCTATTGTTTCCCTGGAAACAATCTCTAGAAGTGAGATTCCCTTCAGGCAGGTGCTTTGCACTTCATTAGAGTGTTCCAAACTGGCGGCTGTTCTGTGATCTGTTTTATTACCAAGCGTTACAGAACTGACAGGTTAACAGTGCAGAAATTCTACCTCAATAAAGATCACATTTGTCTGAGTGGCAGTACGAGAGCATTTGCATTTTTTGAAAAGAAAATTGTTATAAGCAGTAAAATATTTCTTAATGAAACGTGAAGAAGACTATCCTTACCAAATGACTTGGTTACAGTAACAAGAAGCTTACTTATTGATTTTGTTTTATGTGGTCCACAGGCCTTTTTGCATCTGACAATATGATCGATTATTTTATGCACAATCTATTATACAGTATACTATAATTTAATTAATTTATACACAGTAGATTCAGAAAGTATTCAGACCTTTTCTTTTTTTTCCCCCACATGAATTTGGTGTTTGAATCCAGGTGCGTAAAGCTTGTCGTATCATACGTAAAATGATCTGAGGTTGTAATCACTGCCAAAGGTGCTATAACTAAAGGTAATACTTGAATAGGTCAAAAGTCTCTCAGTTATCAGCTACTTTCAATGTAAAGGTTATTTGATCACTGAAATATGTGAACTAAGCAATATGCATAAAGCTATCAGGCTTGTGTTGACCTATGCTGTTTGTGTC